TCAGTTTATGATATTGGGCAACCTCCATCTATTATCTGCAGTTGACGATTGTTTCAACTGATATTATGACCTTTACGTTTATCCTTTTTTCTTCAAATATTTCAAGCGAAATATTGTCTCTCTTAATTCTGACGTTTAAATTATTTTCACTTCCCATTCTTTTTTAATCTCTCGATTATTAAAAATCCTTCTTCAGAAAAAACATCGTATTACATACTGGTAACGAATAGAATTTAATCAACTTAATCAATACTTACATTAAACGTATTGGAATATCATAGAATAAAGTGGAATCAACAATTGCCAACCAATTAGATAAACTAAAATCAAATGTTTTATTTGTATTCTCTTTTTTTGGTTGACTATAAAATCCTTTTTCATGAAGTCTATAGAATTTGAAAGGAAAAAAAATAATAATACAAAAAATTCAACTATTTCAAAATATAACAACAGTTGTTGAAATCCAATAATAAATCATTGTTTAGTAATAACTGATGAAGTATTGTTTATAGCATTTCATTGATTAAATGACATTCAGACAAGTTTTGAATGATTCATTTGTAAAATAAAAAATATGATCAATTTGATGGCTTGATTAAATTAGTTAGTTGTTTATTTATGATTATATTAAGAAATGGAAGTTTGTTGGTTCTTTTTAAAAATATTTCTAAATTGGGCTTCTTTTGAAGTTTGACATGGTCCTCAGCAGTCTCTTTCATACGAGTAGATTCAGTAGGCAAACCTTTGCAACAGCCTTACGAAGGACAATTTTACATGATTTCTCCTCATGAAAAGACCTTCAAGGTTGATAGACATGGCCGCGTTGAGACAGTTAGCATTGATTGTCTCAAGCCAGCACATGTCGATGACAGTGCCCTACCTGCTAATCTGAGACCCAATGACAGACCTGTCAAACTTATTAGCGGGATCCCTACATCACTTTTGGACCCCACGTTAGATACACCAGAGACCTCATTCTCACGTCGCAGTCAACAGCATGTGTCATTTGCACCTTCTACGGATGAGACTCCGGTCTCACGTCCATATCAGCAGACCACGCCACCCTTGACTTCAGATGAGACTGGCGGCTCACGAGGTATGCACGAGACTACCGTCGCGCGTTCCAGTCGCCACGTACGCGTTATTCAATATCAAGTGAGAAATCTTTGAAGTTCAAATGAAAAGTATTCATTTGTACAACTAAATCAATAATATCACAAATTAATGTTCTTTAGAAAAGTAAGTATTCAATCAGAAATTATGAATTGTGAGGTTTGTGTTTTGGAGATGAAATTTAACGTGACTGATGACTGATTAAAACTGGATAAAAACTAACAATTTTCGGGGAGAATTCCGTTAAATATCTTAATAGGTTTGTTCATTCAAATTCTATATGAATTCTATGTGAAATCATCGAAGTTGATATGAACAAATCAGTCAAAATATTTGTTTCAATTAAATCTTACGGCACTATTTACACTGTCAACCTAGTTGGTAGTTTTTAACAAAACAAAATTTTTTATGGTATCAACGTATCGTAAAAATCTGAATGATGGTATCTATACAGGTCCATCTTCAATTTTCAAGTGTTTTCATGGTGAGACTCAACTTCTTAAAGAATCAGCACAATTTATTTCAGATTCTTTCAGATTCAGAATCCATATAAATATGCTCACCTACAAATTGCTGGAAAACTCAGACAGACAGATACAACACAGAACTCCGTACGTAAGTACATCGGTTCAGGTTGCCATGCCACATCAGCACAGAGATGCAACTGTCAGTTCAAATCCAAGAGTGATAGTGATAGTACAAGTATTAGCAGTAATGGAGAAGATTAGGGAGCGAAGATATGATTCGAGAAGAATAATTCAGTAAGATAAATTTAGAAGGAGAAAGACAGAGATTATGGAGAATTCAGAAGGTTAGAATTTGAGAGAAAACAAAGAGTGGATGCATCTGCGCCATTGCAAACGATTTTCAGCCATCTCGTTCAAGGTCTCATACCATCTGTGACTTTCATCTCGTCAACCCCAACCAGGTAGCCTACATCTACCAACATGACTCAATCCACTTGTCAGTGACTTCATGGGTTTTTGCTAATGTTTTGGTCTGGCCGCCCCTAGCGTTCGTCTAACCTATTCCTACTTACTGGAAAACTCAACTTTATCTGATTTCTTTTAGCGTAATTCAAATTAATAATTTCCGAGGATGTAGGTTTGTTTACGGAATAAAGTAGTATATCAAACGGAAATATTCAGAAGAATAGGTGTAAGTGTAAATTAGTTGGGCTTCTTCTGAAGTTTGACTTGGTCCTCAGCAGTAGCTTTCAGTTACATGAAACTTCGACAATAATAGTAATAATAATGATGAGTATTGGAAAAATACTCTGAATTGAATTCTATTCATTAAGCTTCAGCTCCCATCTTATGGTTACAATATGTTGCAAAATAATTCCCCCTATCTTGGTTACAAGTTTAAACTAGAAGTAAAATTTTACTGATATGTATGATATGGTACGTTAGATTTTTGGTAGATTTCTAGATGCTTCTAAAAATAGAAAAAACGATGCTATTGACCGTAAACGAAAAAATCATTAGTAAATGATTATTTCTGGGAATACCAAACTAATTACTTACCTTTCCCACAAATCTCTTGGCGTATAACATGATAGTAACATTTGAGTAATTAACAGACCAGTTGTATGGATTGTATTCAATTCAACTGTTAGATTGCCTACACCCAGTACTTCTGATGTCGTTTCAGCTGATCGATAAAGCGCAAATTTCGCAATACCAAGAATAAACCATAATTCATCTCTATAAATGAAATAAGACACAAATTCACCCTGTTTGATATTAGAACCATGGTATAAATAGTCCTGACGAAAGTGATGGCCAACTAGCCAGTAATTTATTCAATAAACTTTAGGTTTTATCATATTTCCAAGTAATATTCGGTGTTTTTGTCATTTAACTTCATTAACTCAAGTTTCACACAACCACTATGGTGAATCTTGATTATTGGAATTTGTTAGTTTAGGTTGGATATTTAACTTTGTGGTTACTTCATGTTGTAACCGAACGGACTGATATCAAACTAATGAATAGGTTGCACTCAATAACGCTGATAAACAATGAGTAAATCGAGCTGCTTCTTTGTTTTGACACGGCGAAATCAGATTAATGACTTTAATAGGATCCTGTATGCGCATTTCCGAGACGCAGCATACATCGATGCTGCGAGATTCTAATGTTCTAGCTAACGAAGCCTGTTGCCCCATTTGACATAATGTCCGTACATTAAATGCTCCAACATGTAATTTAAAAAGAGGTTTCAGGAGACCAGAAATGACGTTTCGTGAACTCGCTTCGTCTGCATTAGCGGTGCAGTGTGATAAAAGAATGTGAGAAGAGTTAGTCGTGGAGATAAGAGAGGTATTAGGGGGTGTCTGTAGGATTTGATTTAGACCAATTTGGTCTCGTGTGCTGTTACGGGTATGAGGGCGGTTGTCACTTCCCGGCTGCTCACATCGTGGAAGATAAACAGTGAGTACTCTTGTCAGTACTTTTACTTAATTTAAAATACGATAATTCTAAACACATTTATGCTTGGGGGTTCAGTAATAGAATAAATTATTCATTAGAAATATTTACTTTACGGTATTTATCGCAATTTGAAGTAGCATAGCTTTGAAATCATTGGATTGTAGCCTAAACTTTCACTACATTACAATTCTTATTGTTATTATTTTGAATCTATAATCTAAAGATGTCCTTATATGATGGAAGGTACCATTAAAATTTATCCATTTCTGAATATCGCTCACTTTAAACTGTGAATCGAAGATGAAAAAGGTCCTAATACAAAATGGAGAATTCATTCTTTTAAGCCAGAATCAGTCAAAATAACAAATAAGTCAGTATAAAAGAGATGAATTGTTCACACTGCCTAAAGTTGTCATCTTTAAAGGAAACTATATCGAGAGCAATGATGTAATTAGTAAATTAAGTATAGTTTGTTTATCTAAGTTATAATAGACTGGTAAGTTGGAGGTGGATTGATTACACTTAACAACTAAGCTTCTTCAACACACAGCTGATTAGACTAACAATGAGAGAGCCAATAACAGACCCATACATCGGCCAGATTTGTATAATCTGTTTCACGAAGCCTAAGAATCAGATAGACTAGTATTAATGATCAACGGATGTCACCTTGATATAAAGTAAAGCTTATATTATTATGGACTTATTGGGTTTCATTACGTTGTTATTAAATGCTTTCGAAATATTGATTCGAAAGTCACAGGTGAACAATAGTAAGTTGTATAAACAGAAATGTTATGTAAGAGATTCCTGAACTACTTACTGAGTGGTATTCTATAAAAGTAGTTAAATATTTTTTTGGCAGGTGAGAGACTATTGTTCAGCAGAATCATCTAATGATCAGATTCTAAACATTCAGTTACATGCTCCTTAGGAAATAATGATGAACCAACTGATCTTTTTAATTCTACAGTGTCTTTTCATGAGCTGACTATCTCTTCTCTTTTCTCACCAAGTCTTAGGGTTGGCAAATAATGTACAGTATGTACGATAAGTCAGAAATGACAAGAAAAGACAACATTCGTGTCATATATTTCTTGTAGTATTTTATTCTCTGAGATAGGTAGTTAGTTAAAACCCCTAAATAGTTTAGTGCCAAATGAGCAGTTAAGTGGTATAATACTAGTGACTAAACTTATGAATCAGCAGATAGTGGGTGATTGATTTTTTCACTGATCTGTCTATCATATCACTTCATGATCATAAGTAACAATGAAATATCATCAAAGTTTGATATATTCAGTCATATCGATCATTTGGTAATGTTTAAGTTCATTAGCTAACCAAATAGTTACTTACCTAAACTGCAGAGAATAGTCTGAACCCGATTGTGTTTTAGAAACATCAAGTTGTTGTACTGCAGACTCTAAGAGTTTTGAACTAACATGTGCCATAATCTGTCTACTTAAACCACCAGGACATGTTTGAATTAATATTGACCATATATTGGACAATATACACCATATTGATTGAATAGATTTACTTAAATGTTTAATCTCTGGTTGAACATTGAATATTGACTGATTCGATTGTAAATTAAATTGATGAGGTAGTAGTTCCAGTTTATTAAAGTCATTTAAATCTTCTTCAGTTGTAAAGCTAAGCTTATAATAATATACTAAACTGATGTCGGTGATTTGTTCACTCAACAAACGTATTGATACATCGTATTCTTTCGCACAGCCAAGGAAGATGGATGTTCTATAAGAGAAAAAAAGAGTTAAAATGAATATGGTGTACAAAAACTATGCACAATTAATTTTGGTGCATTCGTATGTGTCAGAGGACTGATTAATTTAGTTTGCAGTTAAAATTAAAAGCTCCACGTTTTGTGGTCAGTAAATGAAGTTTAATATTACAATTTTGAATTAACTGAAAATACCCCTAGACATTGTTATTTGGTTTGCTTTGTATTATCACTGATATATGTGTCTCCAGTAAATAATATAGCTTGTCATGAGAATCACTGGATAACACTGTAATCCAGTACTGTGAATCGAATCTATGAAGTGATTTCGATTGAAAAATATTAATCAGTGAAATAAATCTCAGTAACTCAAATAGGTAACTTGAAACCTATAAAGTCTAAGTATATTGGGGATAATATTAATAGGTGAGTAACATATAAAAAATGACATCTTATTCGAAAATAAAATAGGATGCTAAAATTCTAGTGACTTTCATTATTGATCAGACAATACCAAGTACCAATCAAAGAATATGAATAATATCACAAGATGATGCAGGTATGCTCGGCCAGTCAATATCAAGTTTTCTGCACATTAATTTATTTCGGAAAATTTTAACTGAACAGTGAGGAGATGTAACTGATCTGAAAAATGTGGTGTATTTGCGCTATAAAAATTTTACAAAAGGGACTAATGATTTTATATTTCGGAAAAGAATGATACTTTTTAAATGATCGACAAGTGAGTAGTGTCCACTGACATGTGTAACTAATTCGTCAGTACTGATCGAAATCGATTTAACAAGTTACTATGTGGCTATTAATCCAAGTGATTCAATATCACAGGAACTATAATTTTTTTGTTTGGCCAATGCTCTACGAAGGGTAACAAGCGTAAGTAGAAATGAAATGTTTTTTTGTTAGGCGTTTGGAAATGTTTTAGTTACACATTTTTGAAACCATGAATCGATCAGTGTTAGACCACCATTAGAAACCTGGAAGCACTAGACGGCCGTTTCGTCCTGGTATGTGACTCCTCAGCAGTGCGCATCCATGACTCCTGCACCTTGCAGGATTCGAACCCAGGACCTTCGGTATTGTGCGCGAACGCTTAACCATTGGACCTCTGGGCCGGCATCTGACGGTGTTGATATCTAACTTGATCAATTTACGGAATTGCGCAACCTCATACACAGTCTTCGGTAGTTACTGTCTACACCCGAACAGATTGAACTTCACTGGTCACGTCTTTCCACTAGAACTCGGAGAAGATTCCTCACGAAGCTAGTCACTAGTGAGCACAGGTAATTTGCATTACGGGGTTGTCAAGATTGTTAAGTTACACATTTT